GGCAGAAGTTATGGTTGTGCAAGAAAGTTGATTCCGAAAGTTGTAGTTGTGAACCCATATTGAATTATTTTAGAACCTTTTATACCTTTTTCTTTCTAAACCTCATCCAAAAGCCTACATTACGGTCCAAAGAAAGACCTTTTGATCAATCTTCAGGAAGTGACCCAAACCTGTTTGAAAGGTATTTCCAAGATCTAACCTCCATCGGAGCAACAGTCAACTATTTCTCTACCCAACCACGGAAATTGGGAATCTCTTCAACAGTTCCCACAGTTGATGAAAAAAGAGAAAGTTAAACAGTCACGGGAAAAACAAACCCTTCCAAAACAAAAAAGGGGGAAAAAGAGAAAAGAGAAAGTTTTAAAGTAAACTTACGTGCAAAATTCTACTTTTCAGGGAATGGTATATTTTCTTTACCTACTAACCCTACAGTAGGAGCAGAAACAAATTTGGCATACCAACCACGGTCCTTGTCATCCTCAGGGCTGACTAAAACCTTCTTACTCCTCGCCACCAAAGTAAAGATTCCATGTCGGAATAGCTTAGGGGAGTAGAGGTGGATCAGATAAAATAAAGTAAAAGGCAATTTAGCCAAGTTAGCTAAGTACCTTAGACAAGCAACAGCCCTCCACACAATGGGGCCAATTTGTCCTAAACAAACATTGAAAAAACGACAGAAATCGATGATAACAGGATCAGTGGGGGGGTCTAAACTCCTGTGTAAAGGAATATGTATACACGAAAGAAAAGCCAGCCTTGTAAGACGTGATCCTTTGATTTGCATTAGGGATTATAATCGGGAAATCAAATTTCCAGTGGCAATCTCTACGAACAACAGAGATCAGACCTTCAGTAATCTGAGAAGGGTAAACGTCAGCACGATCAAGAGAGGACATTGAAGAAATATGATTCCTAATTGATTCTCTATCAGTATAAAAAGAAAGTTTTGAGGGGATAATTTCATCTACCGTTGGTTCACGGACTGGTTCATTAGAATCCCTACTTCTAGTAGAAGATCTATGTGGAAGGGAACCCCTAGTTCTAGAAGAAGAAGGAGGAGTAGAACTAGGTAAAGATGAAGGCGAACCTCGAATGGACGTTGATCCTAAACTACGTAACCTACCTCCTCTCCTGCTCCTAGTTGGAGCAAGAGAAAGTTCATCTACAATAAGAACTTTACGAGGATCAGGGTTTGAAGAAGACATAGCTACACGGAGAAGAAAGGAAGATTGAATAAGTCAAAGACGGAAAACTTTTTTATGAAAGAAGAAACAAAGGATATATGTATACTCAGAAGCAACCGTCAAACAAAGAAGGTAATAATGGGAACGTCATAATGAAAACTGTCACTTCGTGATTGATGTAGCCGCAAAAAGCCTTAAAAGACGCTGAAGGGTTGTAGACCCAATCAAAAGACGCCACGTGCCACGAGCATTAAATGGAAGTGACATGCGAAGCATTAGTTTTGGAGAAGGTATAATGGGGGCAAAAATTCCCGCTTTAATGAGATCCACTTTTCAAATATTCAATTGTTGAATAAATGGCAAGTGGGGGGACTATCTGTATTGGAAAAAATCAAGTTAACATATGGAATTAATTATGTGTTGACATGTCAAGACACGTGGATCAATAAAAGAATGACAGCTGGCAAAGAATAGTTGAAGAGACACGAGCCTTAACAGGCACGGGCAGATATTCAAGAAAACAGGAAGGAACGGTTACTCGAACCTCTTGGTAATTTGAAGAGACATCGGAGGAATGAACCTAGATAGCAAAAAGTACAGATACGTATTATCCGTAATTAATGAGCGTCAATGATGGAAAACGTTACAGAATCTTTACGAAACAGTTACGATTGCTAATTATAACGTTGCATTAATGACATTAATTACTCATAATGACTCTGTTATGAGAGGAAAGAAACGTATTACTTAGAAATAGCTATAAAAGAAGAGGAATAAATAATTGTAAGGACACAGAATATTATTGGAATATACTGATTTACTTTTTCTTTTACGCAGCTATCATTTAAATCAATTCTTCTTATTTGTTCCAAATTTGATTATCAGTAACCCGAGTTCTTCTAAAATTTAGCTTTGACCGAAATTCTTATTTTCTCGTTAAACATTACCGACATCTAAACTCAGCTACAAATTTTTTATTTCATCATTAGCTAAAGAATCTACGTAATCTCTTAAATTTTAATTGTAAGAAATTCATCTTGGTATTATTTCTCCAAAATAAAGATCAGGTTATTTGTCTCTTCACGCTCTATACAACCGTATCAAATTGTTATGGTGACTATGATATGATTGACTTTGCGAATATTTCCTTCCCCATTTTGTTGATTTAAATTTCATCTAAGACCAAATATGTGTGGCGTTGGGCTACTTGTAAATTACAGCGTGACAAAAACATGAAGGGAAAACTAGCAAGAAAAGGGAAGAATGAAAGTAAGTGACAACAAAAGGAGGAAATAGACAATAGAAGTTTTACACTGTTAGAGACACCACATCATACATATTCCTTATGACCATCATTATATGCACACAAGTAGAAAAAGATTTAACAAATACATTATTGAGATTGCACAATTGTCCTGAAGGGACGGCCCAGTGGGTTTGGCGGGAGTTTTCCGCACGGGAGACGCGGATTCGATCCCCCCTCAATGCCTTCTGGGTCTGAGCCTGTCGCACGGGGTTTGCCTAGTGCGGTTTACATCCCCTGTGTGGTTTGCAGGCTATTACACAGTGGAGGTTTACCCAGTGCGCACAGAGTGCTCACCCGAAGGGCAGAGGCTGTAGCGGCTGCGGGTTTTCCTAGGGTTCCAAAAAAAAAAAAAGAGATTGCACAATTAGTGTAGCTGTTTTGGCGCTTCATTTTCCATGAAAAAGAAGTGCATGTTTTGACTTTTTTTTTCAAGAAAAAGGAGAAACTACAAAAGGCATAGGATAAACATAAACTTTTGATTTGAAGGGCGTGTTCGCAACATTACTTCTGTTATATTATGTTAAATAGGTTACAAATGAGAGCATGTAGAAGAAAAAGCCAAGCATTGTAAAGTTTAAGGAAGCACATAAATGAATATAAGAATATTAAGTAAATTAATAGTTATGGAGGAAGGTGAAAAGTTTGAAACCATAAATAGAATATAAATGGGTGTTAAAACTACTAAGGGATCAACTATTATAAGGGGAAATAACACTGGTAATATCATTAAGGTAAATCGAAAAGTAAAAAAAATCGACGGTAAGTACCTAATATGTATTAGTCCGAAAAATAATTTGGAGATTGTCTTATGCCTCTTCCATAAAGGTTTTTCAGTCTTTCTATTTGTTGTTCTCTAAAAAAAAAAAAAAAAAAAAAAAAAAAAAAAAAAAAAAAAAAAAAAGGTTATCTTTTAACAATGGCCTATCCCAATCTTTTCCACATTTTGCTACAATTTTTTCAGCGAAAAAAAAATATATTTCTTCCTCCTAATAACTAATCTCTCTGAAAAAAACAAAAAGAAACGTATCAAATTCCTTATCTAAAATCCTAATTCGGCACTTACAATTTAGCTCGCTTTTACCTTGCGCATGAATTTTAAAAATTTACATCATTATTGATGACGGAGCGAGGACTTAAAATCAATTTAATATTGAATCTGCACTTTTACTATCTCAAAACCAGCCTTTGAGAGAGTATTCTACACAAGTAAATAAAGAAAAAAGAAAAAGAGTTGCAATAACTGAAGCTCTTCAAGATTGCAAAAAGAAACTGACCAATCCTTGTTAAAAATCTAATTTAACAGACACAATGTAAAGGACTCGAAATCAACCAAAATCAATTATGCCATGGAAATGGTTTCTTAAGGTTTAAGGTTATGTGTGTTTTGTAAAGGAGAAGAGATAATGGTACATTATATATATATATATATATATATATATATTATATATATATATATATATAGATTAATATATATATATATATATATAATGGAATAGTTATTATAAAGATTATGGATTTTAACTGATGGAGTTAAAGAGACGCATCGGTTGACAGAAACTATGGGGCTTGATGGCCTCTTAAAGAGGACTTTTTCATTTTTTTTTAAATTCATATGCCTCAGAGAAAGAAAAATGCAAAAACAAAAAAAAAAATATATATATATATATATATGTGTGTGTGTGTGTGTGAATGCTGGGTATAGGAAGGTGCCGCATCACCTTTCTTATACGAATTTTAGAAATCTACATCGTTGTTGACGACGGAGCGAGGACTCAAAATCAATTCAATATCGAATCTGCACTTTTACTATTTCAAAACACTAATCTCTGAGAGAGTATTCTGGGCGCGAATACATGTGCGTACAACTGGACTGCCCCTGATTTTTGGCGTTTTTTACTGCTGTATTAATGCATACAACTCACACAACTGACTGAGTTGTGTGAGGCTCCTTTTTGTCTCACAAATCTGTGGACCCAATCTTACACTTCTGGGTCCACAAAAATCTGGATCCACAAAACTGTGAGACAAAAAAGTGCCTCATAAAAATAAAACTTCCGAAACTCACCAATCCATGTAAAAAATCCAATTTAACAGACAGTCTAATTTCAAATCATCTATCTGTTTTATCTTTCTTTTTTTGAAACTTTGCTTTAATTTCTTTGACTTTCTTTTTTGTTTATTAACAGTATAGAAGAAAATAGAGACGGAGTTAGTTCCAGCATATCCTTATTATAACTATCCAGTCAGGTCGGTTACTTAGCGAACCGTGAATTCTTTTGAAACTTGAATGTATCACACGAAAAATCAAAGTTCTGATAATCAGAGGCATACTGGAAATTGATTGTACTTGATAAAAACAACCTACCATGGTTGTCATTTTTTCACCTGACGAAGTTCTAACTAAGCTACAACAAATGTTTTGCCAAGATATAGTAATGACTATACAACTAAGCTAGAAATTGAACTTTGTGCACAACCAAATACGCATATTGCAGTATCAGAAAATAGACACAAGCATAAGTATTAAGTTCACTCTACAATATATACAGTGTTTTCATGCGTTAACTAAACATAAACATCAAAGTATTTTTGAACCAACATTTCATCAACTGTCACACAATTTCATCCTTTGCTACATGCTCCCAATCTGAAGAAGCATTATCATACAATGCTGAAGAGTGTTGATTTCCCGGTCTGACCTTCCAATTCGAATGGACAACTGGATCATCCGCAACGGAGAGAAGAAACTGTTTCATGGAGTCATATCCAGAATCATCCACATAAGATCCAAATTCACCTTCGCTCACATTAACATTGTGATAGTAAAAGTAAGGTTCTATTACCACATTTGCTCTCTGATCTTCTGATACTTCTCCTTTTGACAACCCAAGCTTCTCCATACCTGCAGAACCAGCAGCAACCATATCCGAATCTTTTTTAACCTCCATAACCGGTAAATTCAGGTTGTCTCCCCGATGTGTTAATACATTGAACCTTGCCATAACAGAATCCTCAGCATCATTGGCAACCATATCTGGATACTTTTTCTCTTCCATGAAAGATGAATTCAAGTTGTCTCCTCGCTGTCTTAGGATATTGAGTCTTGCCAAAACAGAATCCTCAGCATCATTGGCAACCACATCCTGATCTTTTTTCTCTTCCACAAAAGATGATTTCAAGTCGTCTCCCCGTTGTCTTAGGATATTGAGTCTCGCCATAACAGAGTCCTCAGCATCATTTGCAACCACATCCTGATCCTTATTCTCTTCTAAGAAAGATGACCTGAAGTTGTTTCCCTGTTGCCTCAAGATATTTAGTCTCATCGTAACAGAATCCCCAGCACCACCGGCAACCACAGCAGAATCATTTTCCTCTTTAATGAATGATGAACTCAATTTCTCTTCCCTTCTATTTAAGATATTGAATCTCTCCATTACAGAATCCTCAGAATCGTCAATGTGGACAAGTTTGTTTGAAGGAGAGGGACTCTGGGTGGAAGTCTTTGACGCTAAGTCATTTTCAGCTTCAGGTGCCACTGAGGAATTCAGGTTTAAGTCTGAAGAAAATTTGAAGCACAAAATCTTAGTGGCAGCAGTCACATCTACAGAAATGTCTGAAACAGAATAGAGACCGCAACTATAACAGAGTCGGAGAAAAGATATCAAACAAACAACTTTTACCTTTTCCTTGGCTCACTTTATGCTTCTCCATTTCAATCTTCATACGGTCAAAACGAGCTTTATAGCTTAGGGAACATAGTTTTGCTTCAGCTTCAAGCCATAGATTTTTGAAAAGAAGGGCTAGGGGCGGCATTGCTTCATCACAGAGAAAGTTCTCATTGAGGACTTTCTTTATAGCCTGCAAGCCTGCCATATTAGTATGCCACTAATAGGATACAACTCCCTAAAAAGTACATTTTTAATACTTGTTTCAAGACTAATATTCAAATAACAATTTCACGAAGTACACATAGAGCATACCTGGGCTACTTGTTCTTCCTTTGAATCCCCTAATTTATCTGCAGAACGAGTTAGAAGGGATGAACTCACAACATTCTTACCATCATTCTTGCTCTTATCTTCATGCATAGGCGGGTAACCAAGTCCACAAGCATCCCAAGCAACATCTTCCATAAACTGGGGATTGCCTGTCCCAGTGCCCTGAATGAGAAAATTAATGTTATCTACAAAAATTACGCTCAAACACGGCCTATCAAGTTGATATGCAAAAGGAGACTTAAAACTTAGATCCATACGCTCACACACCAAATGGAATGACACATCATGAAGATTAATAGGACTGACCCAGTCAACGGCCAAAACACAATCAAAAGTCTAAAGCTGACAAAAACAAGCCTATTAAGTCGATAAGAAAAGGAATATTAACACTTAGTTTCCTGTTCTTGCACACAAAACAGAAATGCATGATAAAAATATTCAAGGGTCAAACAAAAACAGGACTGACCCAGTCAATGGCCGACAAGGTACCTTAATGATTGATTTTCTCTTATTTAACAACTGTATATTTATTGGACATAAGACATCCATTCTGAAGTATATATGAAGAATGAGACGACAAAGATTAAATAGTACTAAAATAACAGCAACAATAACATTGTTACACATCTCATCTTTATGATTATTCTTCTCTGTTAGGCTTATAAAGTAAAGCAAGCAAGGGAAGCATATCCATTTCAGGAACACTTACATGATAAAGTAGGTTAAGTAACAAACAAAATAAGTCAAATTATGTAAACATTGTTAATATAATAATTGCCACATAGACAAAGAGCATCTGCTAGCTCCTCTGCTATAGTCCAGAATACCTGGACCATTAGATCTTTGGAATCCACTATATATCCAATTGCCCACAATGCAGAGAAGAGGTGGTTCAGGACCACACTAGAATTTATGTCTGAATTCCAAACCAGAAATGGTGATACTGCATCTGCTTCCACAATTTGAACACACTGACACACCTGAAAACAAGACTCGCTAGTTTGAGAAGGCATACCGTATAAGAGCGGCGAGATTCTCCAGACTTTTCAAAAGTGTTATGCTGGGAAAACATTGTTTCTTTTGTTTCAATCTTCTTAGAGGTACATGCACCAAGATTAGTAATTGCATGCTTAAGGGCGTCAAGGTCTTGTTCCTCCAGTAGATATTCATTAGTTAAACATTGAGTATTAAGCAGCTCCGAAAGGTTATGAATTGCATGAACAAGTGTTTGAACATCCAATTTTGGACTTGACCCCATTTGATATGGTTGGGCCTGCTTAGCATCTTCTTGAGAAGCTGGTGAACGTAAAACATTCTCTGCAGCATCAAGTGCAACTACTCCACCTTCTAATGCATCATTGAGGTTCAGATCAGAATAAATAAAACCCTCCGTCAAACCATGATTTGTGGGTCCATATTTGTGTTCATCAACAGTAAGGTGCGGTTGTAGTTGAGAATCATTTTCAGAGTACTGAGGTAGCCCATATCCTTTGCTAGGCTTGTTCAGATCTTCAGAAAACTTAAGTACCCTACTGTCGTTGGACAGATTCATATGCTCAAATGTTTCTTTTGTGACATCATTGTTCCTGTGTTCTTCTGTAATGTAGTTATTAGTTCCAGTGCCTTGTGAAGGAACTGACAGACCAATTCCTGCTGCACATACGTTATGTTTATGTAGATCGTCAGTTCTCCCTGAATGTTCCGCTGGAGGGAACAAAGGATTGCTTTGACCAAAATCAGAGCATTCTAGTTTGCTTTTGAAGTGGCATGGACTTGGAGCTTCAACAGAGTCGCAGAGAGAAATACGAAAAGCAGGAGAACCTTTCCAGCAGGGTGAATCTTCATTTGAGTTATGAAGATCTAAAGCATCTGAACATTTCTCAGTAAAAGTCACAGGTGGTGCACTACCGTAAGGAGCTTGAGATCCAGATCTTTCTTTAACTGTAACCTCTACTGTATTGCTACCACAAGGATGCTGATTGCTAATTGATGACGATGCAAAAACAATACTGTCCTTGAGATCCTTACCAAAGTTCAGTGGGCTTGCTTCCAAGGAAACCCCTTTGACCGGAAAACCTATTGGTAGGCGAGTTTCCTCACCTTTTAAGAGGTCATAGACATCTGATTTCTCCCTCTTACTAGCTCCAGTTTTGCAAATATCAACAGTTCTGTTCAAGTCTGTCTTCTGTGCCAAGAAACGGCTTCCAGAAGGTGCAGAAGGTGCTGGTCTGATAACCACTACTGGAGAAGATTTTGATGTGGATGTAGTATCACGGAGACAAGAATCAAGGGGTTGGAAGAATTTCTCATGTGGAGTAAAAGGGTTTTCATAGTTCAGGTAATTGTTAGATGATCCTAAAGAAAGTCCCGCTTGGCAAGATGCAGAAGGAATTGAACCCGTACAAGCTGTTTTTGAGTTAAAAGATGGGTAGACTGGTTCTTGAGCAAGATATGATTTGTCATCCATATGTCCCATACTTGGGGGCCCAATGTATATTCCATCAGTAAAATTTCCAGAGAGAGCACTAGTATCTTCTCCAGCTATGTTCACACCTTCAAATGAATTACCTACAAAATGACAGACATTAAAAGCTTCTATCTGATTGCATCAGCACAACGGGTTCAGACAATGGAATGAATGATACATGCTCTTTTAAGCTCCAATTTTGAACTAGTAAATCACATGAATCAGACACGTAGAAGTACATAAAGAGTTTAACACCACCATATGAATATTTTGTCATTGACATAACGAGTTGAAATGGAGTTGATAATCAGGGAAAATTATCAAGTCAGGAATAGCATAATACTCATCAATAACATTAGATTTCTTTTACAAAAAGAAAAAGTACAACAGTACTATGGTACTGAAAAGCAAATAAGAAGTTATTGATTGCCAACAAGGATAAAACATTATAGGGCTAAACCCATAAAAGTAAATTTTGACTTCCTAATTGCAAATAAAACAAAAGTTGGATACACATAAGTTCAATCATCACAGTAACCAACTACTCAGAAAGCAAATTCAAACAGATGTACGACGAATTCATACACCTCGGTTGTACATTCACATCATTGTTATATCATATAAGGAATTACATTGCAACGTGGAACAATGAGATTACAGATAAGAAACACAAGGAAATTACCTTGAGAAACGCAATTTCTATAACCAATTGAAGCACTAGCATTAACTTTCATCTCATCTTGCTTTCCATCAGTCGTTTGACTCCAAACTGATTTCCAATGGGGTACCGGGTATTCCAAACCAGACAAGCTCTGGGTATAATCAACTTGAGAGGATACATTAACAGGGATATTACCACCAGAATTAGGCAAGACATCAAACGAAGGATCATTGAATGGCACCGAGGGGGTGTCATTGGTCATTACTGAACTAGGCACATAAGGGGCATAATATCCCTCACAGCCAAACGAAGAATACGGGTCAGTCGAAGTATTAGCAGTAGGGTTTGGAGTTGACCAAAGGTTGTTACTGTTGGGCGGTCTGATAACAGAATCAGAAGGGGAAAACTCAGGCAAGCAAGTTGTGGGCACAGAATCAGTAACAATTTCATGCTTTGAGAAAAAATTGTGTCCAGATGGTGAAGGATCAGCAGCAGCATATTGCCAAGACTGTCCAAATGAGGAATTCAACAGTGGGTTTGAAGAATTGGAACGATCAACAGTAAAAGGAGGGGCTAAAGGTGATAAATTGGAGAAGGAGGATGAAGATCCTCCATTACCCAAAGACCCTAAACCCATCATCTCAAAAACAATACTTCAATCCACTGATCAAAACTCAAAACCCAGAAAAAACTTTAATTAGTCTAACAATTCTAAAAAAAACAAACAACAATTATCAAAAACACGAAAAAATTCCTTCACACATCGAAAAATCAAGGATTAATTAAAGAGAACATACCCAGTAAAAGTAAGAGGCAAAAGGAGAGTGAGAGAGGCAGCGGAGAGTCTTTTCTCTCGGTCTTGCTCTTTACTCCTCCCAAAGCTAATAGTGCTGGAATTTTGGATTATTCTGTTTCTGTACTCTATCTTTTCTCTTTGATTTCGTTTTATTTTTCTAAATTACCATGTTGCCCTAAACTTCTCTTCTTTCACCCGGCGAAGATGCCAAAATTCGCGTAATTTGACACGTTTTACCCTATCTTGTAAATTTTATATAAGTATTTAATAAAACTAGTTTTAGGATAGGCCGTTGAGTGTGTAGCCTATCTCAGCAAATACAAAATTTTAAAATATTACATAAATATTACTTCGTATATTAGAATTTGTGTTTGAGGCATAAAACAAAAATTAACAAAAGTTTAAGTTTCTAAAAGTATTGATCCGAATGAGCTAACTTCAATGAAGGAAGAAACTCTCAAGACAAAAAGACAATTGTTCTATGTCTACAATCAATAAGAAATATCATATCAATTGTTTTCAACATATTAGAAAAGACTAAATTATTATTGCAAAAGGTATTCTTTAACGGCTACATTTTAATTAATCTACTATTTCTTCGTTTTGGTGTGAGCTTTCTTTCTTTGTCCAAGCACATAACTAGGTATTCGAATATTTTCTTTTATGAAAGTAAGAGTCTAAGGTTTGAATGAAATAATTACCGTTAATGGATTCTAAAAGGACCATGTTAATCTATGAGCCAAAAATATGGAGCTTATGTTAAGAAATCCTCTAAACTTTGCACTGAAGCTAAAATAATGAAGTATCAATTGTGTATTATTTGTTATTTTTCAGATGCAAATAACTATCTAGAATAATTATGTATTTTTATTTTTGGGTCATATCAATAAAAATCGGCTAGAGCGTTATTAATTTTCTTGCTTAATTAAAAAGGTATAGCCAAAATAACGGAGTCGTAATTATTTTTAAAAATTCACAATATTTTTGAAATGCTACCTATTATCTTGTTTAAGTAAATTAATTTCTTTGTACGTGCTTGCACGTGTACCTCGAGCTCATCAATAAATAAATAAATATAAAGCATAAATTATTAGAAAATAACATTTTACGCTAAAATAAATGCATTTTTTTAATACTAAAAATTAATGTTATAACATAGCAATTGTATTCAATACATCCAAAATATACAAACACGATAAAAACGTTTAAAAAGGAAGAATTCTCATAATATTTATCATGATTGAAGAGAAATCTAGTGAGTGTTAACGGTCAAGATCACTAAAAAAAAAAAAAAAAAAAATTGAAATCTCTAACGACAATTCAAATGATATAGGGAGCTGTTATTTGTTGTAACAAATGCAAAATGAGAGATATAATTAATGACAACTCAAATAAATTATCTTATATTATTTCATCCTTATTGCTTCAAGTTTGAATTATTTTAATTAACTCTTAATACTATATCATCACCAATTATATTTTATTTTCTGAATGCTTTAACCACCAATACTCTTTTTATTGAAACAAATTTATGTATCCTAAGAGCTTTTCAACTTGAATTTTTTTTAACTAATATGATGAATTTAGAAAGGAATTGGATAGAATTATTTTGTTAATTAGTTAATTAAAAAACTTAGTTATTTGTTCTCAACATTAAAGAACATAATTTATTTTTATTGATTCAAATTCTTAATAATAGTTCACCCAAATTTAAATATTTAACTGTAATTGTAATTTTATTTACTATAAATTTTGTATTAAGGGATAAAAAATCGATCTGATATTTTACTTTTGGATATTCGTGTTTGCAGAATCATAAGTGTTACTGTTGGCCTAAGTAAAGGTTAGTTTTGAAGACTGACAAAGGAACTCAGACATGAACCAGGTCCATCCAGTGGTCCATCCCTCAGGTTCACAAAAACGGGCAGATTCAAGCATGTGAGATGCACGTGAAGGAGATAAGCTTAACTTGGTGTATTTAATATCTCCTGATCGAAAAGGTTGCATAATTGATAAGGAGAAGGACTCCTTACTCAAAGAGAACACTATCCAAGATAGGGAAGGAGTTAGAAGTTGAAATCAACTAGAACTCTTCCACCAAGGAAGAGTTGCAT